GCCCATGGGGTTTTCATGGCAAAGATACTGGAGTGGGTTGCCATTTCCTTCTCCAGTGGATCACATTTTGTCAGAGCTGTCTGCTATGACCTGTCCGTCTTGGGTGCCCCTGCACGGCATAGCTCATAGCTTCATTGAGCTACGCAAGCCCCTTCGCCATGACAAGGCAGTGATCCATGAAGGAGTCCAACCATTTAGTGCTGGTTTATTTGTATGCTGTTATTATTCAATGTTTTGTTGTTTATATTTTTAATGTGCGGTACACCATACAGAAAACTTGGATCATTGGTCAGTTTAAAAATATAATAATAAATTGTATCCTATCAGTTCCTGTTCAGAGAAAATAAAGGTTCACCTAGGGATGTCTTTCTGTGCCTCCTTGTGGTTGTGATTTAGTATATTTAGTGTATTTCACAATATATTCATGTTCAGTCTTAGAGGTCATGATGGAGAATAGGACAGATTTGGACTCAAGTATGATGCAAATAGGTCTCTAACCCTTTATAAGTTATCAACCCAATAAGCCAAGCTTGGAAAAAAATACTGGGCCTGTGTAATCTTCTCCTGCAGAGTCACCTCTGCCAGAAGGCGGGACACCGAGTGTTGTATGACTTGGAGCTTCCAAACTTTAATCCAGGGCAGCCCTTCATAGACCCCATTATAGTAACCTAATAGTGTTGGAGTTAGGACTGGGCCTGCATCTAGCAGAAAAGACTGTGATTTTGCAGCATGTTTATTATGATTAAGGCGTGTGTAGTATACCACTTCAGTGATTTGAAGTACAGATCTATAGTTGTGTGGTTCTTAATGGGAGTTAATATGTAGGAATTGAGGACCAATGCTTGTGTATCAGCACTAATGTTGCCTACTCTTATGAGCTGAACTGATCGAACTGATATGAATAGGTTTTTTCTCCCAGACAGAGCTAAGTGAAAGCAAAGGCTATGACAGCACCTGTAAGAATAACAGATTTACACAGGCATAAACTCTCATACACTTAAGTCAATTTCAGCAAACACATTAGTGCTATCCTGACTTAGCAGGTATATAAGTGCAGAATGGGTTCTGCTGTGGAATGGTAACAGTAAGGGCAGATGGAAATTAAATGCGAAAAGGTGCTACAAGACTTTGTTGTTTCTGTTCAACAATAACATGGCTCTCTGTCCCTATAAAGATTAACACAAGTGATCTCTGCTCTCAGCATTGC